TTGAGAAATTTAACCAAGGTCACCCAGAGTTAGTAAGCAAGAGAGCTTGACTCAAACTGCAACATCTCTGCCACATAAATCAGTCCTCATTCCAGGATGTATAATCTTAGCAGACACCGGACTATGAAATGAAAGGTTTTTTTTTTTACTTATTTACTTCATTTTTTACAATCATTTATCTTGATTGTTATTTAGGTTTGTGGGTTTGTTTTCTTTGAGGCAGGGTTGTTTTCATGTTTTGTTATAAGTTTGCCTGTTAAATTAAAGTGAGAACAATATTACTAAACACAGAATTTGAAAAAACAAATTTTGTGTTTCCCCTTTTTTATGCAAGTGGGAAGGGGGCTTTTTACTATAATTCGTGGTCATAAATGTATATCGTGCATGTATGGGGTACATACCAATGTAACTGGAGAATATAAAAGCTCACATTTTAAGTATAAATACTATGTATATACACACATATATATGTACTTATCTAAAAATAGCAAATATATATATATATATAGTACATACATACACATCATAACAGCAATTATTGTGAAAAGCCATACATACTGTGAAGCATGGTACATATAGCACCTGAAACACAATTCCTGGCGTGGAGGCCAATAAGCTATAATAGCAGCGGCTTTTATCGCCTCTGATGGGGGTGGGAAAACTATCCCAAAGCCCTGTAATTTTTTTTCCCCTTGTCCTCCACACAGCAATACAGCAGCAAGGGCTTTCTGCTACTCCATCTGCACCTAAAAAAGCAATACTGTTTGGCCCGGTCCAATTTTTGTGCTTCTAATAAATATTCAAAAATATATACTATAAAATTAGCAACAAAAAAGTATGACTTTGATGTGAAGGAAAAAAAAAGTTAGAAAGACCATCCCAGAGCAAGAATTCAAGTGAATATCCTGTAATCTACTGCCAGACCAAAACAGATTTTTACAGAGCAACAGGAGTACTCAAGTAGCCACTTTTATGACAATAAACACCCAAAACCGAAAAATCCTTTTGTAACATAATTACTGAGAATATATAGAGAAAGTAACCATTTAATCCACAGCATGTGTTCCCTACCGCAAGAACTCCAAAGCTGACATCAGATGGGGTGTGGCTGCTCTAGGCCCTGACAATGAATTCTGGCTGGCTGAAGTCAGATAGTTCGCTGGAAGGGCTTAGGGTCTAGAAACCAAGCTGGTCTCACAGAGCCTAAGGCTGTTGACCTTCTGGACACAGGGCAAAGCCCAGCTGTTTATGTGTATTTTGATTTTGGGAGCCCTGGTTGTGGTGGATGAGTTAAGGCTGTGGTTATAGGGTGTTGCCAGTTATTTAATTTTAATATTTTTACCCTTACATTTTGTACATACTTAAGACCAAAAGTCGTGCATAATTTGTAGGCTGAAAAATAAACATGAATTTTAAAACGGAAAATAAACGAACACTGGGCAAAAATACAGATATTTCCACTCCAGTACCATATGGTCTTTTCAAAATGGAAATGATAAAAGTAAGCGACTGCAATCTATTTTAGGAATTATTTACAAAAATGAAAGTTGTTCTTTAAAAGAAAAAGATAACTGCAATGTCAATTCTGAACAAAACTGGAGTTTTTAGCTCTTGTTCGTTAATTAACATGGAAGTACAAGGAAACTTATTTATCCAAAAAAAAAAAGAGTAACTTTTCAAATGAGTCTGTGCCACTTCCAGTTTTGTAGACTACAAACTATTTTGTATTAATACACAGACATCTACAGCTAGATTTATGAAGCTGACACTAAGAGGATTAAATCTCATGATACCAAGAAAAAAACCATTTGACACCCCCAAGATAATGTGGGTAGTCTCACGTTAATTCGAAGAAATATGAAATCTCACACTTTCCATTTTGTACAGTGGTGAAAAGAAATGTTCAAGACATTTATATGCTCATATATTGTATGTTTATAACATATGTTTATATATTATAATATATGTTTATATGTTACTAGTTAACAATATCATCTCGCTGGACAAGTTACTCAGTACTCTAGATTAACCAACACTGGCTGGAGTTCAAAATGCCTTCACATAGGCCTAGAGGACTAAGCATGTCTGTCATCTTTGCGGAGATAGAAAACACACCTACATTTAACACCAAATTATTTCATTAAGTTGTTAATTGTCACAGCCTGCTTCATGATGTAACATCTAAAACTCACTCTGAACCTACTGAAGTTCGTGTTTACCTTTCATGGGAGGCCGGGAAGTAGTCCCTGAGGAACATATATTTTTTAAATGACCAGAACACTAACCCTATTACGAGCCTGATGGGTGCTCTTCAGCTCAAGCATCCTGATTTGTTTTTCCCTTGGCCTGGGGAGAGAGCACGCGCCAGTGTTTGCAGTGCCTCCCTTTCTGCACACACATAGGCTGCAGCTGTAGTAAACAACCACCAGCCAAGACTTGCTAAGGTCAAGGTCTCAAATGCGATACTAGGACCAATTTTCTCCCAAATGACATTCAGTTGTGGAAAAAAGTTTCTGGAGGAAAAAAGAAATATTAAGGGCCCATTAGCACAACAATTTTCATTCAGTAAATAGTAATTCAAAGCTTTCCAAAATAAAGTTCAGCTCACAGAAGGTTCTTTCAAATATGCATTACTAGGTAATAGATAAATAACTGAAACACTTCAAAAAACAGAAACCCCTCAAGGATGTTTTGTTTACCTCACACAGCTGTATTACAGTTTTAGCTCATAAATTATTAAAACTGTATGTGAAAAGATCCCAACTTTTACCAACTGAAGTATATTTTGTAATAGTTACGAATTAGAAGGTAAAATAATAAACCTGTTTCATAAGCATATTACAAATTTCTGCCAATTCTTGCATGCTCAAAACGCTCTCTTCTCCACCTCAAAGGAGCTTAATAGACTCAAGCTAGTCTCCAGACTGACCAGGCTGCAGCGATAAAGATATAACTTATGCAACCGAATGTTTGTCCTTCAACATCCTATTTCTACTAAGCTTCTAAAGTTAAACATTTTCTAGCCTAAAAGTATACCCCTTTATCGTAACCAATTTCTATGTGGTTTTTTTTAAAAATGTAAACAACGTGTGAATGAGGTCTGCAAATAGCACAACCAGGCTTTCTTTTTTTTTTTTTAGGTGAGGGGGGTCACTGTTTTTATTAAAAGCCAATTCCAAAGAGTATTTCTTAGAAGGTGGAATACACCCACCCTTCAAAGTGACCACTCCTATCCCTATCACAAGCTGCTGCCTGTTAGAAGCCACTACATTTATTTCAAAGCATTTACTTATCTCAACAACTCTATCCTCCAGTAAGAAAAGGGCATGGAGGCGTCTAGGTGGATTTGCAGAATGACGTGTATTTGATTGGCAGATGTCTACCGAAGCCACTAGAAGCACATGCACTAAATGTAAATAAAGCTGCTCCTCTCCCTGGTGTCACAGGGAAACTGAGGGGATATTAATGCTGATTTAAAATAAAATATCCGAGTGATCGGCCGAGAATTCTATTAGCTAGTGGAATTGCTTAAAACAATCCACATAGAACGATACTTAAACCATCTGTACAGTTAAATTAGAGCTGACAATATTAACCACACAAACTGTTTATCCAGATTACACATTCCGTTGTACTAATACTCTTTAACTCAACACAGTCTGCTTTTATCAGCTGAATTAAGGCTATTACTATTAAAGTATGCAAAACTCGAAGCGCAGGGTGAAGGGGGTTGGGAAGCTGCAGGGCATAAAACAAAGGAATTGGTACTTTTTCCAAGTATTTGCCTCAAATGCACTTCGAAACAGAACTGTTGAGTGCACCCCACCCTTTTTCCCAAAGATAAAAGTTTTCAAAGTTCTAATAGGCAGTTCTCCACCCAACAAAAGCAGGATTGATTCTCCCTGTGGGGGAGCATCTAACACGAACACCAACTAATGTCGCGGAGGTCAAGTCCGAGTCCTCGGAACGAGCTTCTAAGGCAAGAAGTGGCTCCCAGGCCGGCTCCGCGGGCTTCCCGGCCCGGCTGGCCCTGCAAAGTTGCCCCTTGTCAACTCCGGCCAGGTCCCCCGTAATTGAAAATAACAGCCACGGGCCAGCCCCTGGCTACTTCCCTGGACCCGGCACTGTAGCGAGTGACAGTTACACATCATTACGACCAGAGACAATAATGAATGTAGCACCAGGACCACTATTCATGCCAGCAGTGTCATCTCCGCCTTAACCCCTTCCCCTCCACTCTCTCCAGTGCACACCCACAGCCCACACGGCCACAGTGCGGCAATTCTTCACCAAACTCGCTCTATTCCTGGGGGCAAACTACTTCGACAACCGCCCCCCCCAATTCAGCCCTGATGATTTATTTCTCATCCTTGGTAACTGTCAGGCAAACACTGCAATCAACAATTCCACTAAGGGTAGAAAAACATTTGCCTAATTCACGTTACTTGGTAAGTTCTTTTTTAAAAAAAATTGGGGTGAGGGGGTAAGAAACCTCCTTCTTTCTTCTCCACGAATCCAACCGGCGCTACTTGCTTTGCGATAGCATCGCCCTCCCTCGGCCCCCTCCCGCTTTCCAACACTTTCCCCCTTTAAGAACACAGACCAACCAAAATGATTTAACTTGAGCAGATGACAGAAGGAAAATAAAACATGTTAAGAGAATACGGTCTGATTTGGGATGGCAAAAAAAAAAAGGAGGAGGGGGTTGTTTATTTTGATAAGAAACGGAATCGGCACAGACCTGAACAGAAGCTGCAGAGCAGGAGAAATTGTTTTCTTTCCCTCACACAGAGTCCCCCTCTCTCTCCCTTTCTCTCGCTCTCACACGCGCGCGCGCACACTCACTCTCGCGCGCACACACACACACACACGGCGTCACCCGCGCACACTCACACGCACACTCGCACACGCACAGGCAGAGCCTCTCAGCTGCTCTCTGCAGTTCTCAGGAAATGAATGGGGGGCAACCCAGGGAACTGTTGTACTTGCAAATGACTTACCCGGATCACATGATGCGCTAAATGTAGGGTGGGCCGGTGGGTGGAGGCTGCCGAGACGCGAGCCCGGGTCTAGCGTGGGGAGCCTCGCCAGGCCCGCATCGAATTACCCCGGGGCCCAGCCGAGGGGGTTGCAAGACGCCGCTTCTCCTCCCTTGCAGCCCGCAGCTCAGGAAACCGGAGAGGCGTGGGGGGTGGGGTGGGGTGAGTGGGGGGGTGAAAACACCGAACCCCCAAACAAAAGAGCTCCGGGTCCTCCTCTCCAGAAACAAAGCCCCGCCGCTGCGGGCGAGCCCCGGGGTGGGGCCGAGGGCGGGGGCGGCGGCGGGGAGGGGCTCGCTCAGCAGGCGCTAAGTCGCTTTATTGCCATAAAATGGGGCCCCCGAGCCGCTCCGCCCGAGGATTAGGAGGCGGGCTCTGAGTGTGATGGTTGAAATCCCCTGTGGGAAACTAACCCCTCCCGCTCGCAGAGGTAGAAGGCAACACCCACTGCCCGGCCCTCGCCTCGCCG